AGTATGTCTAGTTATGGAGGTATTGTTAGCAGACTTTTTCTCTTTAGAGTTTTTTTATATTCTTTTAATTTTTTCCTACTCTTTGACGGCTTGCGATAAATTGGCAGTACCACTATTATATATAGATATGTCAAGACTTATATGTTTAAAATATGAACTTGATAGTATGTCTAGTTATGGAGGTGTTGTAGATAATTTGTTAGAAGACTTTTTATCTTTAGAGTTTTTTTATATTCTTTTAATTTTTTCCTACTCTTTGACGGCTTGCGATGAATTGACAGTACCACTATTACATATAGATATGTATAGACTTATTCTATTTATAATATGAACTTGATAGTATGTCTGGTTAAGGAGTTACTGTAGATAGTTTGTTGGCAGACGTTTTATTTTTACAGTTTTTTTATATTCTTTTAATTTTTTTCCTACTTTAAATAGATTAAATTGTGTTAAAATTTCAAGTTGATAGTATGTCTTGTTTTGGACTTATTTAAGATTCTTTGTTGGCCGCGATATATCAAAATCTTAAAAAGACCAATTTGTCATTTCTCTTTAATACAAATATTCTTAAATCTGGCTTAATATCTATTTTATGGTTTATATTTATTTAAAATATTCTTACTTCTACTTTTTGTTTAATAATTACCGCAATATTTATTTAATAAAATTTATTAACCTGGAACCGACGGCACTGTTCATTCGGGTTCCTTCGCCATGTTGGCTGCCAAGATTGGTCTGCTAACTTCACCCCAGTCAAAATATCTTGGTATTACATCAGATGCAAGACTTCGCTGGAATGTCCATGTTAAAAAGAAAAGAGTTTGATATAAAATTCAAGAAAATGTACCGGTTACTTGGTAGGTATTCCAGCCTATCTACATATTATAACAAAATTCTATTAAATAAACAAGTTCTCAAACCAATTTGGACCTATGGCATTCAGCTCTAGGGTTGTGCCAGCTACAATAATATTCTAATAATCCAGAGATTCCAGAACAAAGTATTGAGAAACATTGCCGATGCTACTTGTTACATTAGAAACAAGGACCTTCATCGAGACCTTCAGATGGACACAGTTGACCAAACTATCGCCAGATTCGCTAGGAGTCACGAACAACGGCTCCATCAACATTTATTTATTTATCAACGGGCAATTGCCCAATTAAAATACAAGTTTAATAAAAGGGAAAATTTAAAACCTAAACTTAGAGAATGTTGAAACAAAGAAACACACATTACCATAAAATTAACATAAACCTAAACAAGAAAAAATTAAATATTAAAAAAAAACAAGATAACAATTGTAAATAAGTTAAATTAAATTATCTTAAATTATCTAGACATCAAAATATCACATGCATGATTTAAGCTGGGATTTAAAGACTTTTTTATTATCAAAGCAGTCCAATCTATCAGAATATTGATTAGCAAATCTACCCGATCTTGATAGAAGAGAATTATGTCTAAAGTTAGTCCTATGTTGTCTAATATTAAAGGACTGAAGAAGCTTGTTTGTCTAGAAGGAACATGAATATAAATTTTTCCCAATAGCTCTGGACTATAGCTATACAAGTGCGTCTGATCTGAAGAGTGGTAATATTAAGGGAACTCTCAATATTTGAGTAATTAATATCATCGACTTCACGGTGATCCTTAAATGAAATAAATCTTAAAAATGTATGCTGAACTCTTTCAATGGCTTGAATATGAACTTTGTAGTGGAGGGACCAGACACATGAACAGTAATCTAAATGGGGCCTCACAAGTGAACAGAACAATATTTTAATTGATGATACCTTTAAAAAATTCTTAGCGCAACGTTTAATAAAGTCTAGTATTTGAAGTGATTTTGAGACTGCCATTGATATATGAAGTACGTAAGATAAGTTTGAATTGAGGACTACACCCAAATCTTTAACTTGAAATACCGATTCCAGGGGGCAACCATTAAGATTGTAGATTATTTGTTCTGTGGGACTTCTATTACGACTGAAGACCATTTGAACATTAAGTTCCATTCCATTGATTTCACTTCAGTTGCTGAGACGATCTAAATCAGTTTGCAGTTTTATGTAATCAGATTCGTTCTTTATTCTCATATACAATTTTAAATCATCTGCAAACATTAGGAATAGGGCAAACACAAAACAGGATGCAATATAGTTCACATATAAATTAAATAGAAGAGGACCCCAAGTGTGAACCTTGATGATACTTTAATTCCTATTGATTGGAAGCTCTGAATACGCACTATCTGTATTCTTTCAGTAAGGTAAGAAGATAGCCATTCAAGCAGTTCCCCCTGAAATCCCAAACTGCGCATTTTATTAATTGAAACTTTATGGTTAACCCTATCGAAGACTTTTTAAAATCTGTGTACACAGCATGTACTTGATAACCGTCCTCTAGGGAGTCCAATAGATAGTCAGTAAATGTTAAAAGGTTAAGCTCTGCTGAACGATGAGAAATAAATCCATACTGTTGAATAAAACAGCTTTTTAAACTAGCTGATAAATCGTCACAAACAAGGTTCTCAAATACTTTAGGAATACAACTTAATATACTAATAAGTCGATAGTTATCTCCGGATTTCAGTATAGGAGTAATGAAGTTTGTTTTCCAATACGCTGGGAATGTCTCGCTTTTTAAAGAAAGGTTGAAGATATGAAAAAGGGATCTGGCGAACATAAAGCTACAGTGTTTAATAAGGTATGGTGGAAAACCATCAGGGCCTGGCCCTTTGTTAATATCCAATTTGATAGTTTTTCATAGATTGATGAGATAGATATACAAAGTTGTGATAGGTTGATGTCATTAGAAGCCTGCAAATTATAATTCTTATCAATATAAGTTTTACAAAAATACCCAGCAAACAAATTGACAATCTCCATGCCAGAGGAACTAGTAGTATTATCGGAATGCATTACCAAAGGTATATTACTTTTGACTTTTCTACTGTTTTCAAAATTTCCAAAAAAATTTAACATTGTCCCTAAGAGACGATTTCGTAACATAACCTTAATAACATTGTTTTTGTAAGTATTTACAGTGAGTCCTTAATAAAGAAAATTCATTATAATCATTTAGTGATCTACTGTCCAAGTATTTTTTATGTATTTTATTTCTTTTTTAATCATCGCTTGCTTTAGCTCTGGGGAAAACCAAACAGGAAACGTCTTTGCTAAATATTTTTTAAAGGAACAAAAATATCAATTGTCAGGTGCACAATGTCATAAGAGATATTAATCATATCCACAAGACCCTTGTTCTCGACTAAAACATCCCAATTAAACTGGGAAAGAAAAATGTTCACTTCCTCCACAGTCATCGAATAGAAATCTCTATAAAAACCATCACCAGTCAATCACTAGTTGTTAAAACAATGTGTTTCATATTTAATCTCAAAGGACAGAGGTGGATAATGAATATCTTCTGGAAGTAAGGCATCGTCAGCTGCAAATATCTCGGATTCACTATCTTGAATAAAAACCAAATCAAGTAAATTGTTGTTAACATTTAACTTGATGAAGATAATGATAAGAGCATAAAAATGAAAGAATTTCTATGGATTCAACTTGATTTGGATGAACTCCATCCAAAGGTACAGCGACCGATGCCAATCTATCATTGAACCACTGGCAGTATGGAACGTTAAAGTCTCCCAGGATACAGAGTTTATGCTCTGGATATTGTTCTAATAGGTTCTTTAAATTTTCAGTAAACTTCACATATTTTTCTGGCGCACTTCGTGGTGGAAAATAAGCTGTTGCAAAGATAAACTTGTTGTTGTTTATTTGGACTTTAACAAATATATGTTCTAATGTTTTGCTAGCTGACAAAAGTATGCTGGTTATAGTTTTACGAACAGCTATAAGCACCATTCCAACATGTGAACGTTGAGGCGATCCAGCTTTTTGACAACACAAACCCGACAAGAAGACTCAAGAGAGTGAAACCTTTTGAGCCAAGTTATTGTGTTAATAACAAGGCAAAGCATTGTGCGGTTTAGTGTTATACGTTAGTTTAGTGTAATTAAGTTATCAGACCCTAAGGTATACTAGCGAGTAGAACTTTAGTTTTTAAGATTGCAACCCTAGTTAAGTTAGGTTATAACAAAATTACTCACTGATCAGATTGTAATATTAATAAACGCCCTTTATGGAGTGTTTTTTCACAAAAAAATCTTTATTTTATGTTTTCTACAACAAACGCGTATAAAACATGTGTGTTATGAAAAATATGCTTACAAAAAAGTGGCATTTCCGATGTTTAGCACCCTGAACCTCGAAAACTAGTCATAGAATCGGTACAGGATATGAACACTTGACGGAAAACCATTTTTTCAAAAGAAAGGTGTCTAGTCCTTTATATAATATATAATAACGAAAACGCACTTATAGTTTAATATCGAAATAAAAATAGGCAGTTATTTAATGTGTAAAGTCATTGCGCCAAAATTTTGTAGGTTACGCGACATGATTTTTTTTTGGCGGGCATATATTTCAATAATTGTATATATGGCACCTTTGTGCTTTTGTCAACATTTTTGGTACTAAAATACAACCAATTATTTCGTTATTCAACTATAGTTGGATATAAAAATGCATAATTAAAGTAAATCATTTATTAGATACTCTGATAACATTAGAAAAAAGTCTTTAGAAAAACAAATAACAATTCTGGAAATTACAAAACTAAAACTTAATTGATAAAAAAAACATACATTAATTTTAAAGGAAGGATAAGACAACTTACAAACAATATTACATTTTATATAAATCGAAACACGTTTAGAATAGTTCTTGTCTACAATTTTGAATTTTGTGTAAGTGCTATTAATATGATTACATGAGTGTATTACATGTTTTTAATTTGTAGTACATATAGCTAAAACAAAACGTTCCATACAAAAATATATTGCGAATAGTGTCGTCCTATTTTAAATTTATTTCACATCTTTCAAACTTTCGGTGTAATATACAAATTCACTATGATCTTACAAAATCTTTGGTGCAATAATAGCTAATATGACGGTCGCAACTGCTACCAAACTGAAGTTGATTCTTGTACCGGAATTACACAGATCTGTTTGACATACTGGACAGCTTGAAGGTTCGCCTTGAGTGGTTGGACAGTTATATGTCAGTTTTCCGTTCTTTTTCTCTGCCAAAACACACTTCCTTGATTCTGCGTCTTTGTAACTTACTCTGTCTGAAAACATAAAAGAAAAAATGTTAAAAAATGTATTATATTTAACTGCGAGTTTTGCGTTAGGATCTTTCATAATTAGATGAGGTTAAAGTATCATTTAAATATTAAAAGCTCCTTTAAATTAATGTACATTGGTTTGGATTTAAATCAGAGTCGTGCGTAGTTATCACGGGCATGACTCTTATTTCTGTCTTTGTCGAACATGACCTACTTTAGAAAAAAAATTGCAGATTACTATTTGTATTTTGAATACTATGTATACCAATCCTAGTAATATAAATTAATTTTATTTTTGTTGTCATTTTATTTCTGGCCTACTTCAGGATTTAAAAATGGGGACATATATTTCTTAGACAAACGCTCGTAAACCTTAAAATAAAATTTAACGTTATACATTTATTTAACATTATAAGACTGTCAAAAGTCAAATTGAGTCGGTGAGTGGAAAAAAAGAACATATTGTTTTGTGTATTATTTTCTTTTCAGAGTGTTAAAAGTTGGTAAGTATCAAAAACATTAGAATATATTAGGATGGTTAGGTTAGGTTAGGTTGAAAATGAGTGGCATGATCTCATCGCCTTCCACTGCGACCCAGATGGGTCTCTTGTGGCTCATGACTAACTTATAGTTCACCGTACAAGCCACACCTTTTGATAAAGGTCCTGGGTGAATTGGGTGAGACTTCTTTAAAGTCGGTAGGCTCCAGTCAGGTAAATCCGAAGATCTGGAACCTGATTCTTTCCAGAGCGGAGCAGATACCTAAAATGTTCTCTGAAGACTCGTCCTCCACGCTGCAGAATCGACAGTCCGATATTAGTTACAGACCTATCCTTCTCATGTGGTTGCCCAGACGGCAGTGTCCTGTCATCAGTTCAGTGAAAATGCCTAGATCTTTCCTATTCCATTCTCGGATCTGAGCAGAGGCGTTCATAGAAGGGTTGGTTATGAACGTTTTCGAATGGGTTAGCCCTGGGGTATCTCTCCAGTTCGTGAGTGTTGCACCCTTCGTCCATTTTGAGATAATTCCTTTGGCAGTGCTTTTTGCAATGCCCAGGAATGATTCTGGTCCTATGAACACAGATTCGGTTCCTCTTTTAGCAAGTGCGTCGGCTTTTTCGTTGCCCTCCACACCACTGTGCCCTGGAACCCAGATCAGAGTAACTTTGTTCCGGGCACCGAGGTACTCTAGGGTATTTATACAGTTCCAAATCAGCTTTGAGTCAACTCAATTAGAGAATAAATCACTGCATATTGATTTTACTTTTAGGCAAAATGAACAAAAACTAATATAAATAAAAAATAATGTTAATATGCATTATAATTCAGCTAAATACATAGGGATGAATCTAAGTGTACAACTTAAATGAAAAAAGAACAAAAAAAGCGTAAAGAACCTGATTTTAATGTCAAAAAAATGTATTGGCTCCTAGAAAGAAAACCCAAGCTGTGAGTGTACAATACACAAATCCTAAAACCAGTCTGGATGCATGGCATACATACAGCTATAGGAGATACAAGTCCAAAGATGCACCTTGGTTCTATCAAAACGATTATCTTCATAGAGACCTGAAGATCTCAACAGTCAAAGAAGAAATGCTTGAAATGAATAAGTTTGCTACGAAACATGAGGGTCTACTCCACTTCCACGTCAGTGAAGAGGTGCTTCAATTACTGTACAACTCTACACTCAAGGTCCAAAACGAAGACATTATTTAAACTCGTGCAGTGAACGTTAATGTTAGTGCTAGTGTAAAACATTGTAGTAAATTGTCACATCAACTTGTGATACTTTCCTATAGGAATATTTAATAATGGGATTTTTTAGATTAATAATTATTTTTAAATTAAAATTACAAAAACTGAAACAAAAAAATATAAAGTAGTTGAAATACATTTATAGTGTTATTTTAATAAATGGTTTAATTAATCCAATGGTTAGCCAAAATTAGTTGACAATGTTTTTTTTTAACGTCAGAAATGTCAAAATGTTTATTTGATTGTTTTTCGTAGTGGTATGTTGTAGACGATAGATACGATGATGACTTTGTGAAGCTGAAGGCTCTCAGCCTATATTTATTAAAAAAATATTTTTACACAGTGATGTATTCCTACCATTTTTATCTTAATTTATTTTTATGAAGTATGCAAGCCATATAAAATATTATAAAATACATTTATAAATAACTATATAACTTATTTTAAAATCACTATTTTAAAACCTAAACTAACTAAACAAATACCTAAATCTAAATCAATTTCAGATATCTGCATACTTAACTTTGGGAAGCTATTTTTAAGATACCATAAAAAGAATGATTTAAAATATATAAAAAACAACCAGTAATGAAGATTAATTGAATTAGCAAACAATACAAGGTCAGTTTGAAGAATTTATTAAAAAAAAAATAACCTTGCTTACAAAGATCGCGGATTAGCAACTAAGAAAAATATATTTCTTTGTTCATAAAGTTGGATATACAAAAATTACTAGAATATTCATACACATTTTCTCATTTTTGACATACTCAATTATTTATTATTTGTTTCAAAAATAGAATAAACTATTTTTAGATAAAATGATACAGCGCTAAAAATATTGTGCAGTAATATGTTTTCTTGGCAATTTCTATACAATTGTACGTAAATTTGAAATATTGAAAATATACATTGGACCTATACATAGATAGTTCTTTAAGAACATAACGACAAACTTGTTAAAAAAAAATATATATATATTTTAATTTTATAGAATGACACATTTTCGCTTTTAAAATAATATCAGAAGTTTTTCATTAGAATTACCATTAAGTATGGGCGTTAGGCGAGAGCATGATAATGTTCTTACTGCTAACATATTTTAAAGATCAACCTTATCTTCATTTGTATCAAAAGTCAGTATTTCTTTATCAACCTAAATAGCTATTTTAGGGATCAACGGATACCGATATCGGTAAATCGGCCGATATGTAGAGTGCGATACAGGTCTATATCTGTCTCAGCCTAATTAAAATATTAATTACTAACAATTTTTTATAGAAATTAAAATATAAATATTACATAAAAAACAATTTAAACGATATTTCTATATAGAATTATTTTTTCAATATTTAAAGTCAAGTTTTGTTACGTAAAAATGCAAAATTAAACTTTCTGTTCGGTCCCAGTTCAAGAATATCTTGAAGTAATATTTTTATGAAAGAAATGGAAAAACGATTCAATTTTTATTTCAACGGGCCAACTTCGGCTAGTATAACTATTATAATAATATGTCATTACATACAATTTAAATAGGGAAAGTAGGTACCAAGTATGACACATCACCGAAAACGTAATTTTATAAAAAATTCAGCAATTACGTTACTGTTAATAAAAACTGTTACGTATTGTAAAGTGACACTTCATTTAAAGGATAATTTTATTAGAAATTCGATACACGACACAATATTATGCTAACTAAATCAAAAATCTGATGTGTCCAACACATGACTTTCCTATCTAGTTATTACAGGCTTTTTCCGGTTATTTTGTACAACCTATTGCAGCATCTCTATAAATGTTTAGAGGATAAACTAAATATATACATTGTCCACATACATCTACCGCGAAACATTTTTCTATAGATATTCATTGAAAATGAAAATACTGAAAAATTTAAATTTAGCAATTTTCCTACAATTTTTCCATTACGGTCCATTTTAAAAAAATCATGTATGAACAAATATTATAGAGATCGATATCGCAAACAACTTTTATTTCAACAATTTTCATAAAAATCAGAATTTTGCACATCGCGAAAATAGTCAAAACGGATTCAGGGGACCTCAAAACGTAAAAATCCGTCGAAAACTCGAGGTCGAAAAAAATCATGATTCCTATACTTTCCTTATATCTGTATACAGATAGGAAAGTAAAAATGAAACAAAAAAGATTGTATTATTACTAATTTTATTTTGTTGCAAGTGCAATATGAAGATATTTAGGTTAATGTTATGTGGTGCATTGGATTACTAATAAAATGAACTTTCAAATGAATTGTCACACTTGACAATATGTAACAGTTTGTATCCCACTAGAGGGCGTTAAAATGAAAAGTAACACAATGAAAAGTCATAATGCTGAATTCCGCATAAAATTACCTTTTCGATGATGTGTCATACATAGAATGATATATGACAGTTGACCATATTATAAAAAGGTGCGTCCCTTGAAATAAAAATTGATCTGTTTTTGGGTTCTACTTTAAGACATTCTGAGATACGACCGGTGTCCACCCTTAATGAATCTTCCTAAACAATACCAGCTGAAGAGAATAGCTGTATACTAGTCGCACTACTTGGTCGGGGTGCTGAGTGTATTATTGAATCTTTATAATTATAATTTAATGAAAATTTTAAGGTCACCTTCAATTTTATTTATCAGTATCAGTCTTCTTCCAATATGATGATGATTTATTTGGTATCATACCGGTAAGTTCCTTAAAGGTAATCCAAAGCAAACCTTAAGAAATCGAATCAGGGAATTTGTCCTGAACATGATGGTTTACCGGATTTGATTTGTTAGCAATTTTTTGCTAAATGGGCATAATAATAGTTTTGTAGTGAAATATCCATAACAAAAATATATAGCCGATATGTCGGTATCGGTCGGTATCGGTCGGTATCGGTCGGTATCGATCGGTATCGGTCGGTATCGGTCGGTATCGGTCGGTATCGGTCGGTATCGGTCGGTATCGGTCGGTATCGGTCGGTATCGGTCGGTATCGGTCGGTATCGGTCGGTATCGGTCGGTATCGGTGAGTATCGGTCGGTATCGGTCGGTATCGGTCGGTATCGGTCGGTATCGGTCGGTATCGGTCGGTATCGGTCGGTATCGGTCGGTATCGGTCGGTATCGGTCGGTATCGGTCGGTATCGGTCGGTATCGGTCGGTATCGGTCGGTATCGGTTGGTATCGGTCGGTATCGGTCGGTATCGGTCGGTATCGGTCGGTATCGGTCGGTATCGGTCGGTATCGGTCGGTATCGGTCGGTATCGGTCGGTATCGGTCGGTATCGGTCGGTATCGGTCGGTATCGGTCGGTATCGGTCGGTATCGGTCGGTATCGGTCGGTATCGGTCGGTATCGGTCGGTATCGGTCGGTATCGGTCGGTATCGGTCGGTATCGGTCGGTATCGGTCGGTATCGGTCGGTATCGGTCGGTATCGGTATCGGTCGATATCGGTATCGGCTACAAAAAATCATATCGGTCGATCCCTAACTATTAATCTAAATACTGAATTAGCAAGTGAATTAGTATGTAGCAATTTTATGGAAAAATGTATCAGTTTCTTTTTATTGAAGACGAATAACTCTTTTAAAGTCTTTAAAGCACTCGCAGTTGACCAAGTTGAGACTATCTCTTTATCTGAAATGTGTAGCGGGTGAGTTAATCCACGGTACCTAGGCCTCACTAGGCCCATTGTGCATCCTTCTAGTTGGGCATGTCCTAGCTCGTGGGCCAGTCTACAGATTTAATGTAGTTGACAACGCTTGCTTCTCTTATATCGGCCGGTGTTGAGAATTTTTAGCGAACATAAATCTTCAAATAAATGAGAGCGTCAGGTAATCGTGGAAGTTATGCTCCACCCTTAATGAATCTTCCTAAACAATACCAGCTGAAGAGAATAGCTGTATATGTTTGATGTAATATTGTCAGGATAACTTAAAAGCTCCCTGGCAAGTCTACATCTTTTTGTTTCATCCCATCTTTTCTTGAATTCCACAAAGAAATGTTCGTTTATTAGGTTTGTCACTACCAATGTTGTCAGTCTGATAGAAGGGCCACGTCCAAAACGTATTTGGTTGGTTGCGCTTGGCTAGTAAATGAACAAAACGGTTATCTTTCGACTTTTGATCCATCCTAAGTTGACCACATTATTGATGTATCCATCAGCAAAGTTTCATGACATTCGAGTACTAACCCTAAGTAAATTCGTGGTCTGTCCAAGTTTAGTAGTGCTTTTCTACTATCTGTATAGATGAGCATGTTATGTTTAGTGAGTGTATTATCTTGAGAAAGGTCATCTTATCAAAAGCACCTTCTATGTCTATGAAAACACCCAAGGCAGACTCTTTATTGTCCTGGGATCTCTCTATCCGACCAGCAACTAGGTGAAGGGATAAATCAGATCTGCCTGGGGTGTATGCATGTTGATTTGGGTGTAGTGGTATTGTTTTAATCACCACATTCCTTATATACCTTTCGCATAGCCTTTCCAATGTCTTTATGGAAAGCAATGTCAGGTTAAATGGTCGGTATGTTAAGAATATGCCACATATCTAGACTGATTGAATCAATATCCCAAGAGCACAACAATTTTAAACAAAGGCTCTAAATTCACAATGTTTATATACATATCCTAATTATGAATTCCCTTCAATTCACTGTCTAGGATCAACCTCATAAAACAGAAAAGCAGGAAAGAATTATTTTTATTTAATTATTCATGATATAATCTGACTTGAGGTGACGAAAACCCGTCATCATCTCAATATAATAGTACACTGATATTCAAATATGAATGTCTTATTAACAGAAATTAAATAACTGCTAATATGCCATTCACTGCAAATTAAAAAAAAATATAATAATACATTAGAATCGAAACCGCTGTCGTCTTTGATCAATTAAAAAAGTGTAACATTGCCAGTACAGGTTTATAGTGAGAATGAAAATTGTTTATTGTTTATAAGTTGAAGAAAATAACCTTATGAAAACATCTTACCCTTGTAGAAGAGTTTCAAGCAAGCCCATTCATTGTTTGCTGGTATTGAAGTACCACTGCTTCCACATACACTTTTTTCCCAACTACTGGGGGCTCCTTGACAGTTTTCGCATTTGTAACACTGCAATGCCGAAGCTGCAACAAAAGAAGAAAAAATAAGCATTTTATATAGACCATTGCACGAAATAGCGAAAAAGGAAAAGTAAAAATTATGTCTTTATTTTCAACAGTAACTTCCTTATTAATCCTAATTTCTTACAATTTATATACCAGCATGTGTTAATTTATAATAACGCAATTGAAGTAAATAAATAACAAATTGTGCTGAATTAAATCAATTATTTTTCATTTCTTGGCAAAAATGTCGAGGTAAACGTGTTTCTTTAACCTGAATCAAAGTTATTGAACTCATTAGGATTAGTCTAGAAACTGCATACATAAATGAGTCGGTACACCTGCATCACTTTCAATTATTTTCGGGCCAATTGGCTTAAATTGGGTTAAATACAAATTAAGTGGCTTGATTATATAATTGTACGTTTTCTGTTTTGAAGAGAAGATCTAACTCACATGAATGTGTATTTTATTTAGCATAGGAAGTCGAAAATGACGAGGTTAGTTATAACTAATAATTATCATAATGGTTTTTAAAAATACAGGTTGCTACTGATAATACCATTATCTCGTTCATATATAGTAACCTAAAAGCAAAAGTTACATGGAAATGCATATAGACGATATACAACACTAAACAACTACTTTTAGGAATATATGCTGGCATTTCCATATTTTATTTACCTTCCATTTTTAATTCAGTATTTGTTATTGCATAAAAATATTTTTGAATCAATAAAAATGTTGGGTTAGTATAGAAAAAAAAACATAATTTACGGAGTGTAGTTAAACTTGAACACAATAATAATTTTCCAGTAATGATTTACGACTGCTTTCTTTAATTGGCGAGTTTTTAAAAAAATGGTATCCAGAATGTACACAACATATTCAAATTCATTTTTCATCATAGATTCGTCTGAATATATTACACTTATGCGATGTTTTTTAAAACATCTTGTATCTATCTGTATCTGTAACGTGTGAAGGGTGGGTTACCTCCACGGAGGCCTAATCCTTAGGCCCATTGTGCATCCTCCTAAAATGATAGGCACCTCCTAGCCTACAGATTTAATGTAGTTGACAATGTCGGCCGGTGTTAGCCGATACTCGCCGAACACAAATCTTCTAATAAATGAAAGCGTCGAGCAATCGTAAAGGATATGCTCGATGGTCTCATCTTCTTTTTCGCACCCTGTGCAGAATGCGGATTCTGGCAGCCCCATGATATGGAGATGCTTCTGTACTTGGCAATAACCAGTTAGAATGCCTGTGACTAGGCGCAAATTCTGTCTAGTCATAGTCAAGTATTTGTTTGCTGCAGTATTGTCAGGATAACTTAAGAGCCCCCTAGCAACTCTGTAGTTTCTTGTTTCATCCCATCTTTCCTTGAATTTCACAAGGGAATGTTCTTTAATTAGGTCTGTCACTAACGATTTTGTCAGGCCAATAGAAGGGCCAGTTTCAAAAAGTATTTGGTTGGCTGCTTTCTTGGCTAGTGAATCAGTAACACGGTTTCGTTTCGATGTGGCGTGACTTTTGATCTATCTTAAGTTGACCACATTGTTAATGGATACTTCGGCCAAAGCTTCGTGACATTGTAGTACTAACCCTGAGCAAATTCGTGCTTGTCTGCTATCTGTGTAGATGAGCATATTCCTTCCAATAATATTGTTTTTGGTTATTTCTTTTGCTGCTATGAGAATCCCCGTTAGATCTGTTTGACCCACACTGGCACTATTGCTCACAGCCCATTTTATGTTTAGATTTAAGAATCCTGAGCCTTGTTTTGTTTTAGAACCGTCGGTGTAGATATGAATCGTACCTGCTACTTCTGGCTCTTCTATTTGTTCTATTATAACTTTATATGGCTTATGGAAGATATATCTCGGTGATATGGAGTCCATGTTCGCTTGAAGCAGTGAGAGCGTATCGAGCGCCTCCTGTCAAAAGCGACATCTCGCCTCACCAGATCCTACACCAGGGTCTATTCCAACCGTGAGGAGGCGTGTCATTATCGTCAGAGCAACCTCCTTGATGTAAATATCAAGGGGAGTGAGACAAAGAATGACTTTCATGGCTCTGGTCGGTGTTATTTTCATGGCTCCTGTTATGTTGAGACATGCTGTTCTTTGAATTTGTTCTAGTTTAGCTGTTAATTTTTGGGTTTTCGGTACCCAGACAACTGAACCGTATGCTAGCATGGGTCTTATGATAGCCGTGTAAGTCCATGCTACGACTCTGGGGGAGAAACCCCAGGTGCGCCCTATGGTTCGGCGGCATTGTTCATAAGCAATGTATGCCCTTTTAGCTCTGTTTTCTAAGTGGTTCCCTGTTAACTTGCTGTCAAAGGTGAGACCTAGGTACTTCACCTCTGTTGCAAAGTTTAGTTTTTGTGTTTAGGAGTTCTGGAGGTTTTAATTCCATTTTCATTCTTTTACTTGTGAAAAGGACCATTTCACACCTTGTATCTATTGAAAGCTGGGTTTTTATTAAATCTTTAGATGGAACGAAATACATCGGCAAAATCAGGTTACACTCAGTTCTTATAACTTTATTAGATTGTGCCTGATTTGCTGTTCATGTCCTTTAGACAAAACATAATCTAAAACACTGCCAAAGTTTACCTTGCTTATAAATTTTAATGAACGAGAGGTTCACGATTTCTTCTCGCTCCAATTTGAAATAAGCCATTGTAAGTAAATAATGGTTTTGAAGTGTTACTGCCAAGAAATTGACAATGTTATTGGCATCCGTACAGCAATGCAATAATAATTAAATTTGAAAAAAATAGTATACAGTTGTTAGATTATTTTATTCCATATATATTCTAAATACAGGGTGTCCCGAAATTAGACGGTCATATTTTAGCAGCATAATCTACATCCTAAAATAGAAGTAAAACATAGGTCCGAAATCGTTTCGTTTTCGAAATACAGGGTGTTACAAGTGAAGTCCTGATGGAGCATTTTTGTAAATATTTGTAAAAAATTCTTTAGTCACCGGTTTTCCAAAGTTAAAAAAAAAACAAAATTTCTTGTTCCACAGGCTTAATAAATATTGTTTACACTTTCGAATAAGATAACATCAACTTATCATGAAATTTTCAAATGCTTTTCTTTTGAAAATGGTGGGTCCTAGCGAGATATAACAAAAGTAGCTTTATTATAAAGAAAATATTGGTTTTCCAAATTTTGAAGTCAAAAATGTTAAAAACAGTCAACAAAAAAACTTCAGATAAGTAAATGTAGTACTCATTTATGAGCTAGTTGGGCACCATAGTTCAAAGCCAAAACTTCTAACCTCACTTTCTATGTAGTTCCCGCATTTTGTTTGCGAGGCTCACTTTTTATTTTGGTGCCAAGTTGTGTACACACGTCAAATCGAAAATGTTTTACATTTTAATAAAATATAAGAAAATATTATTATTCATAAACAGAAACGTCGGACAACCACTCAAAATTGTGTCATTTAATTAAAAAGATAAAAACATTTAAGAAACAACAAATAGAAAGGAAGAAATCTTAAACAGTGGGTGCGACTCTAATAAAGAAAATCACAAACGTAAATAGCAGAATAGTTAGGCATAGAAAATCCAGTTCGTCTAGTTTTAGTTCTCTGGCAGAAGAACCAGAGATAGTATTTATTTATCAACAGAAGAATACAGGTAGGTTAAAAATAAATGAGTTGTTTTAGATTACCTACCAAAGAAATTGAAGACGATGGTAAACTGATCACATTACTTTACATGTGATTCCAGATAATACCATAACTCAGTGAGAGTTTTATTTAAAACCCAGTGCGGGTTTATAATTAATCCAGTGCGGATTAAATAGACTCAGTGCGAGCCTGTTAAACCTGTTAAATCATAAAGGCAAAGAAGAAACTGGTTTTTTGATAGCATCATATATCTAGCAAAATTTTATATGGATGATGATGATGGTAAACTGGACATAATTACATGGAATTCCAGGTAGGCCATAACTCAGAGAGAGTTTTTTTATAGAACCCAGTTCGGGTTTATAACATTCAATAAATTCAGTGCAGTATAGGACCCAGTGTTGGTTTCAGGTTCAGTATGGACCTGTTAAATTACTAAGACAAAGAGATACTGGTTTTTTGATAGTTTTGGCAAACATCTAGAAATATTTTATATTGCGTATGCTGGTAAATTAAACATACTTTTTTCTTTCAAGTCGATTTAATTTACACGTGATTCCAAATAGTAACCGTAACTCAGTGCGAGTTTTATTATGAACCCAGTGTAGGTTAATAACAAATCTAGTGCGGATTAAATACAGTGAAACTAGAAGACGCGGTGGGTGTCCCGGATTTAGTGAGGACATGCTAAAATCACTAAAGAATATTCTGGTTTTTTGATAGTGTTGTCAAATATATAGAAACATTTTATACGAAGGTTAAGAATATTGTTTACGTAATATTGGGAGATATTGCTACTTTGAGTTTTCTTTTAAGACTGGAATCAGAAAGAAGACCACCCTCTTAATAAAACTAAAGGGCCATTGCTAAAGAAAAATATTGGGCAATAGTTTGGGCAATGAACTCAATATAGAGGAGTACTGATGGAGTTATTCAAAAAGAGGTAGTTGCCTCAAGACTAAATATCTTGGGTTCAGGACTAGATACATTTACAAATCATGGCTTGTTTCCATATATCCTTAAATTGCATTTTGATGGCGCCACCCAAAGTCATCCCAGGGAGAAAGGCAGCAAATACCAATACAGCTCTTAAATGAGGTTAAAGTAATTACACACCAAGTTATGGTCTGGTCTGTCCTTACTTGATAAGACACTCATTTTAATGCTGAAACTAGAGGAAATATCACATTAGAATTTAAAAGTGACCTCATGGAAGTAATAGGGGAGGCTAAGTTGAGACCGAATCAAATCTGCTAAAGCTATGAAGCATGTAGGTGAGGAATTGAAGGAGATGTTGTAAGTTAATGGTACCACATAAGACTGTAAAATTCAAAAGTTTCCCCGGATAATAGAAGTACTCATCTCCAGGGGTACACCAATAGAAACCTTTGG